TAAATAAAAAACGTTGAAAAAAAAATTTAAAAAAAAATAAAATACGATGACGAAACCCTGTGCTATCCATTTTAAAATGAAGTGCGTGATATAAAAGTGTACTGATCATGTCAGCCAATTACATGCCAAAATGGATTTTACCTTTAAAGTTGGACTTTAATAACATCCACTAATTAGAAACCCCTAAAGCTGTACCTGAATGTCTCTAGTCACAAACCAACGGACGTGAGTGCAAACGTCCCATAGTCTTTTGTTTCTGTGTGACCAAGCTCCAGTATCAGTTCCTTGTGCCTCATAAGATAGTAGCTTACTGTGTGTGAGTCCCCTTGTGTGGGGGAGCCTACCACACTTGGAATACACACTCCTCACACCTTGCCCACCAACCACATCCTCCCTCCTTTACCAACTTTCTGGGAGTTAGGAAAAAGACCATCTGTCCAAAGGGTTGACCTGAAAGTAAGCAATAATTCTCTTGCTTCTGTAACTCCGGGGTGTAATTATCTCTGTACGCTCAAAAAAACACCATCACATTCTAATGTCCTCTTCAGACCAACAAGAAGCAAGGCTTGACCACTATCTAAAGGAGGAATACACAGAAAGGGATAGTGGAGAGATTTTGGTAATGGGTCTGCCCATGAGAGAATGGGGGAAGGGTTTTGGATATTTAAGAATTTCAACATGAACCATAGTGGACTAAATAGTTGCAAAATTATAAGCAAAACGAATCAGGACAGCCATTTCAACGACTTTTCTGATCATGAAAATGAATTTCTAGGCCAGTCTGTTGTCTTTGCTACGAAAGAACAAGAAACAGACATGTAGCATGTGTCTGCACAAATGGCATCCACCAGGCCTGAGGGATTTGTGGCACTCTGTGTAGAAGCCAGGGAGTTTTAAAACTGATACACGGTGATGGTTTCTCATTGTTCCAGTAGCGAAGTTAGCTATTTTCTGCTGTGACAGCAGAATCCCCTCCAGAAAATGAAAGATCCAGAACTGCTAGAAGCTTTTCCCTTTACTCTCCCTGTTGGTGGTCATATGTTGGACCAACTTGACTTTCCTCCTTGCTTAGAGAATGAAAGATGCGTTTCACTCTTTAATGACTCTCTGGGCACATGAGCCATAACTTGCAAAATTTAGAAAGCGAGAGAGCAGGAATTAGATTTTTAAACGTACCTGATAATGGAAAAGATCATCTTTTTATAGCCTTTTCTTCATATGTATTGACCTAGTGAGGCACAGGAATTAGACAGACCCCAGGGCAGGATGATGGGGTCCTTGATTATGGTCTTTATATCACTAAAGCAAGATAATTTTAACATTTGCAGAGAGGTGCAGTCTTGCAAAGGTTTAACAGCTCAATGCAGCTATGGTTGAAGGATTTAAGTGCTATATAAAGCTTGTGCAAAATTTGAGCCAAGTTACTAGGACTAGTACATAGGACAATGGCGTGGTCAGTGGCACGGTGTTATATTAAACAAGTGTCATAAGATAAAGATGCTCAATTGTAGCTTGTGGGTTGGGTGTTCTTAGTTAAAAGTGACAGATTTCCAAGACACATGGTCCCTAGATGAATCGCATGCCATGAACCAATTTTTAAACTCAAAAACAGTTTCTACTATATCGGCTCATCTTAACCTGTCAAGGTTTACAGTGAGAATGCTTTCATTTAATAAAAGATATGACAATCCTTTGTACATCAAAAGACATAATTCTGATGTGTAAATGGCCTGTGAAACAAGTTACGAAACAGTGATCGTATTTTTAGCTTGAACTTCCTAAAACATAAGTTACATCTCCAGTAGTCCAGTTACCTAAAACTACTGGATTTGGTAAGATATTTTTTTCAAAAGCAACAACAAGTTGTATTCTAAACATACTCGATAATGACAGAATAAAATCAGTTTTTCAGAAGGGCCTGACATTAATTTATTTCATACTTAACATGTGGCTATGGGACCATTAATGTTTCACCGGTAGACCCTAGTGTCACAGGATGTAAAAGTATAAAAAAGCTTTCAAAGAAGCTACAAAGCGGAAATACACTCCCAGTATTTGATAAAGGAATGCTCTGCAAAACAGGCAGATGTCTTTGAGGACGAAGAGTTAAGATATAAATATAAATATAAATAAATAGAAATATAATATAAATGTAATATAAATATAATATAAATATAAATATGAATATAAATACAAATATAAGTATAATATAAATGTAAATGTAAGTATAATACAAATATAAATATGAATATAAATACAAATATAAATATAATATTAATATAATATAAAATAAACATAATATAATATAAATATAATGTAAATATAATATAAATATAAATACAAATATAAACAAGATTTTCCTATCCACTTTGCAAAGGCAACAGTTGAGTTAGACCCAGACTGGGGACCTCTCTGACACCAGGCTACAATGCATTATGCAATAATGTTCTTTGCGGCTTTTCTGTAAGTTGTAAACAGTCCAATAGCAGACCTACCAGATCATGCCTTGGTTGAAGATCAGAGCAAGGACATTGCCGCTGATGTCAAATTCAGTGTATGAAGGCTACAGAAGACACAGACATTTGCTGGATTAACATATCAAATGGTGCAAACTGAAAAACCCGAGTGGTACATGTTTCTGCATAGGTATGCTTCCATGCAGCAATAATCACAGAATAATCAATCTAATAAACGAGTAGTGCTAAATAAAATAATGCAGCACCCTTTTTAACAAAGTAAAGCTCATTTTCTAAAGCAGTCATTCAAAATGTTGTGAAAGTGTGGACCACTGGGCTCTCATGCATGGCCCACTGTAAAAATTGGAGCAACCTTCTGGGAAAAGTTTGACAATGTGTATTAAAAACTTAAGAAAATCTCAGTCTCTTTGGCCCTGTGAGTCTACCTCTGGGAATGTGAGTTAACAAATCGAGCTTAAATGCTGACAACGTAGGGGCGCCTGGGTGGCGCAGTCGGTTAAGCGTCCGACTTCAGCCAGGTCACGATCTCGCGTTCCGTGAGTTCGAGCCCCGCGTCAGGCTCTGGGCTGATGGCTCGGAGCCTGGAGCCTGTTTCTTCTGATTCTGTGTCTCCCTCTCTCTCTGCCCCTCCCCCGTTCATGCTCTGTCTCTCTCTGTCCCAAAAATAAATAAAAAACGTTGAAAAAAAAAATTTAAAAAAAATAAATAAATAAATGCTGACAACGTGTAACAAGCAGAGACAACACCATCTAAATATCCAATAATGACTCTCTGGGCACATGAGCCAGAACTTGGAAAATTTAGAAAGTGAGAGGGCAGGAATTAAATTTTTAAACATACCTCATAATGGAAAAGATAACCTTTTTATAGCCTTTTCTTCATATGTATTGGTTAAGTAAATACAGTATATCTATACTGTGATATACAGTGCACATAATCAAGGTCACCGTTTGAAGAATGCTTACTTACGCAAAAGAAAACTAGGATTTGATGTTAAGCAACAAATATATAAAATTATACATTCATTATTTTTACCAACTGAATATGAAATTATGCATAAGGAAAAGACTTGAAAATGCCCAACAAATTACCAGGTGTTATATAGGTGGGGGATGTATCATGACTTTCATTTTCTTCCTTAAGTTTGCATACTTTAAAACACCGCAAAACCTTGGTTTGCGAGCATAATTTGTTCTGGAAACGTGCTTGTAATCCAAAGGACTCATATATCAAAGCGAGTTTCAAGAACCATTGGCTCACTTGTGATCATGTGACATTCAGCATCACTTACTACTTGCATTGCAAGGCATCCTTGACTATCAAGTAAAGATTTATTAGAAATGCTTGCTCGTCTGGTGGGACACTTGCAGAATAAGTTACTCGCAATCCAATGTTTCACTGTATTTTTCAAAAAAATGTGGATTTCCTTTATAATAAAATGAATATAGAGAGAGACAATTAAAGTTTAAGAAGTTGTTCAACTCAATATCCAGTGTTTGTCTCCTAGATGCCACCCTGCTTAGGGTACAGCATCAGGCTGTTTTTTTTGTGCAGAAGGCCCACCAATAGGAACTGAGGTGGGCATCTGTCCTAGGGTGGCCTGTCGAAAGGCTTTCTGGTAACACATCAGGCATCCTAGAAGGAAAGCGTCTATCAATGGGAGTAATGCTAATTAGCAACAGCAATGAAACTGGCTCCTACTTGAGCTGGGCTAGAGAACAGTCAGGAAACTGACTAACCAGTGACAAGAGAAAGAAAAGCGAAATTGTGAACTGAGAGCACCAAGAAGACCATGAAAGAGAGACCAAACGGGAAGCAGGTCCTTAATCCTGTCCCAGATCCTGGCATCTGCAGAGGTGGCTTCAGACCCCCTGTATCTTCATCAAAACTCCCTGCCGACACACATACACACGCAGCCCACACACACGCATGCTCACGCCCACACACATGCACACGCAAGCGTCACTCTTCTTTTCAAACCCAAGAACCCCTCCTAAAAATATCTGTAAGAAGACGGGAGAGTTGTCTGGTTTGGAACCCCAACAGAACGATCACAGCTTTTGAATGCCTTGCCTCGAGAGTTCTTGAATCCAGGCCCCAATTTCATCAGGAGCGCTTTGCTCTGGACCACCTTTCCCGTTGCCTGAAGCCTTGTGAGCTCACAGAACACATTTGACAAATGCTCAGCTGGGTGGCCTGTGCCATCTGTGGCCTTGGAACGGCTCTTGTCCATGTCGGTTTAAGAACCAAACCTTCATCTCTGACCTCTTTAGAATAGTGCCATGATTTAGCCCACCAAGCTATGTAAAATTTAAAAAATTCAACCCTTTAGAAGTGTATTTTCTTTACTCTCACAAATATATAAGCCTCTTAAAGCCCATTTGAGATATTTTTACAACTAGGTAACTATAAAAACATAAAGGACACATTGGGAGCCTTTGTTCGCATACTGTGTGTGCAGCAGGGTCAGCTGGAGGAATACAACCTTTGATGCACAAATTGACCTGATGCGAAAGATGGGTAGAGGGCGTCCCTACTGTACCAACGGTTTGGGGTCCACACACTTGTCTGAGTATTAGACCTTGCCCTGCCACTTCCTAGCTGCGTGAGCTGGGCCCGTTGCGTATCTCGTCAGGCCTCAGTTTCCTCACAGAAACTGGTGCGAAAAACTAGGTCAGTGGTTGTCACACTGTGGACCAGAAGCCCAATCTGGACCACTGTCTGTTTTTGTAAACAGATAGTTATTAGAAGACAGCGGCCTTCGTTCATTTATGTATTGCCTGTGGCTGCTGGACACGAAAACAGGAGAGCTCAACAGTCCCCACCGAGACCATATCGCCTGCTGAAAGCAAAAGTGTTTTCTACGCTCCACGCACAGTACTTTCTAAACAGTGCCCCGATTCTCTACAGACATAAGCCGGATGCTTTAGCATTTAACTCAGTTCTGACACTGACTGTCCCGAGCTAGTGCTGACCCCACAGGTTAAGGGCGCAGTCCCACAAGAATGCCCCACTGCAGACACCAATCACAAGTTCACATTGTCGCCTATGCCGAGTGACTGGCTCTAAGTCAGAGGATCCTACATCTCCCTCCTCAAGTTTGATAATTTGCTAGAACGGCTCACAGAACTACAGAAAACAGTTGATTTGCTCAGCTACTGTTTATTATTAAATATGGCAGGAATAGACAGATGGAGGAGGTGCACATGCATAGGGCAAGGTATGAGGAAAAGGGCACGAATGTCCTTTCCAAGCACACCACCCTCCCAGCACCTCAACGTGTTCAGCGACCTGCTAGCTCTCTGAACCCCACAGGTCAGGGAGTTTTATGGAGACTTCATCAGTAAGCATGATCAATCATTAACTCACTCTCCAGCCCCTCTCCCCTCCCTGGAGGAAGGGGGAGATAGGGCTGAAAGTTTCAAGCTTCTAATCGTGGTTCGGCCTTTCTGTTGACCAGTCCCCATCCTGAAGCTATCTAGGAGCCACCAAGCATTGTCTCATTGGAACAAGCAATGTTCCCGTCACCCAGGTAATCCCAAAGAATTTGGGGGCTCTGTATCAGGAACCAGTGTCAAAGACCAAATATTGGAATAAAAGATGATCCTAGCACCTGTACCGCTTAGGAAATTACAAAGGTTTTAGGAGCTCTGCCTGGGAGCTGGAGCCCAAAATATATATTTCTTATTTTATCACAATATCACACCTGCAGAAGTGAGAACACTTACCATCCAGCCCTTTACTTTACAGGGAAAGTCTGCCAACTTCTGAACTAGATCATTTCTAAGATCCTTTTCTAATCTAAAATCTGTAATGGGTTGAAAAATTAGATGCAGTTATTAAAGAATTGCTTCTCTGTAAACATCTTAGAAATGCGCTTGAATACTATATGAGTTCAACTCAGAAAATCTCACTCCAAAAAAAAAACCAAAACAAAAGTAAGGAGGCAAACACACATGTGCGTACACACACACACACACACACACACACACACACACACGCTATAAAATTCAATGCTCATTCTTTTAGAAATGGATTTAATGAAAACCTGAGATGCTATTGTATTTTAAAGTTTTAAAAGCAATACTTTAATAACACAAGCATAAATCAGTTTGCAATACGTTTGCTTAATCGCCTCTAAAACATAAATAGCTTGAAGGTAAATGATGCTTGGGAAAAAATAGGTTTTCCTGAAAACTGAGAAATGAACTGATTCAAATGGGATGCATATAACAAAATCACTAAGGGCTGCTCATCCCTGATAAGACTTTTAGGGGCCAGCAAAAGCAGATCCCATTTGGATTTAGGCTGAGGTCTGTAACAGTCAAGGGATTGGAAATTATCTTGTTTTATTTCTGGACCTTTGTGGCAGGCGGGAGTCCGTCATCTGCCCACAACGAAGACAGATGGTTGTCACTGGACTGAAGAGCCATGAAAACTCATCCTCTGTCTGCAAGCTTAGTTATTTGAGACAGATCATTAACCTATGGATATTGTGGAATATCTCAGAGAGAATTCTGTCATTGCAATGTCCTGTCTGACATACAAATCTCACTTGCCCACAGCTGAAATCACTCTGGGTCAATGGTTCTCAAAACTATTCTGGTCCCCAGACCAGAAGCAGCAGTATTACCTGGGAGTTTGTTAGAAAAGTAAATTTTGGGAGTGCCTGCGTGGTTCAGTCAGTTAAGCGTCAAACTTCGGCTCAGGTCATGATCTCACAGTTTGTGGGTTCAAGTCTCGTGTTGGGCTTTATGCTGACAGCTCAGAGCCTGAAGCCTGTTTCAGGCTCCCTCTCTCTGCCCCTCCCCCACTTGCGTGAGTGCTCTCTCAATAAATAAATAAATAAATAAATAAATAAACAAACAAACAAATAAATAAATAAATTTTAAAAAAGAAAATGAAAACTAAATTCTCCGGGACCTGTCCCAGATCAGAAATGCTGTGTTTTCACCTGCCTTCGGGGGATTCTGGTGTCTCCTCAAATATAAGAACCACTGATGTAGGACAAATCCTAGCCTCGTCTACTAGGGTGACTCAGAAAACTCGGGGCTTTGTACTTCAACCCTCATTGTCTGCAGAAATACTGTCCAATGTTCAAGTGGAACTTCACATCCAGAATGTACTGTCCCTTTCCCCATGTTGTCAACCCTTCATGGGATACTCAAGACTTCTTACTGACTCCTTAGCATGGCATCTTCCTGGACTGTTAAATAATACCTCATTCCCAGCTGGAGAACATCAGTTTATTTCTAATCGGAGCCTGACGCAGAGCTCGACACAGGGCTTGATCTCACAACAGTGAAATCGTGACCTGAGCTGAAATCAAGAGTTAGATGCTTAACCAACTGAGCCACCCAGATGCCCCTCTTTCTAATTGTACATCACAGGCTTTCTTGTTAACTCCGTTCTATTGCAGGTGAACTGTCTAATCTTGGGAGTGCTTTGAGTTACCCATGTCATAGATTGGCTCATGAATTCATCATGACTTGACAGAGTCCTTGAAATTTCTAGGGTTAAGCGTTACAGTGAAAATTTACCATGACAGAAATCTGGTTGATGGCTTTGACGCTGATTCAACTGAGTTTGAGTCCTAGTTCCACCAATGATTAGGGATATGTCTTTGAGCAAATTATTAAACATCCTCTAAGGCTTATTTACTGTAAAGTCGGGGAAAAAAGGAGCTACCTCACAGCATTGCTGGTATGAATACATGCAATAATATGTGTAAAGTATTTTCTAGAAGTTCTGACATATAATAAGAACTACATAAGATATACTATACTATGGAGTCCACTTTTATGATCTGTCAAACATATGCCTCTCATTTATTAATAATCTTGAACCCCTTCATCAGATCTCAGGGAAACCTCTTATATTTTCCATTTATGTAAATTTAACAAGGACCACCTCAAAAATGTAACTTGAAACAAGATGCTGAGGTTTCATTTGATTGACCGTGTTCTAATACCACGCTGTGTATTCAGGTCTATTTCTTCTTGCATACCTGTTACCTTTTTTATGGATGAATAGCAAAGGTAATGTCCACACAAGCTAAATTGAAAGTAAAGGGATTCTGTGTTGAACTGTTGCAGGAAACCCAAAGAGTTTACGTGAGGCTTTAGGGCAGTTGTGCCGAACCTGGGGGGCTAAAATCCCTCCTGGGAGAAACCATTCCACGTCCTATGAGTCAGTGAACACTTCAGAACATTGAAAGTTGTCTGCTCTGCTTGGAGAAGCCTTGGAAAACATTAACTTACATTACGTGCTCTAACAGCCTACCATTAGCCAGTAATTTTCGCAGCTCAGCTCATCTTTATAGGTTTGTTGTGATAATACTTCGGCCATAAATTTATAACTGGAGAACCATATGGGGTCGCTTTTCATTCAAGTTACTCTGATAAGACCAGTATATACCATTCAGCATATTTAACATAATGGCTGTGTCCTGCCCTCGTTTACTCCCTGGCGGCCACACAAGCCTAGGCAACTCACTTCGATTCATAAGCTCTCAATTTTCAGGTGTGAAATAAAGGATGTATGACTGATTGTGTCAACATTCCACCAGACATTAACATTCTGTGGCTCTCTGGAGCTGAGGCGGAAGTCCACAGAGTTTAGTCGTTACAGAAGCTGTTGTAATAAAAGTGACCGAAAGTTTGTGCTGAGAATGGAGCCTGTTTGAGATTCTCTTTCTCTCCCTCTGCCCCTCTCCCCAGCTCGGATGCTGTCTCTCTCGCTCTCTCTCAAATTAAAAAAAAAAAAAAAAAAAAACGATAATTTTTTTTTAAATAGAATAAATAAAAGTGAATGAATTTTTTAAATTCTACATTCTCTAGGACTGGTTAATTCGACGTAGAGAAATTTCTCTTAAGGAAACAATCTGTGCCTACCATTATAATTTATCTGTGAGCATATTTATCTACATGCCTATAAATAAACGTAACCATAATATTTATTACCATAACTAAAAATTAGATAAAGTTTAACTGACACCCAATAAAAATTTAATCAATGCTGGGCCCTGTCTTACGTTGGTCCCTCCACTGAGAACCCTTGCTTCCACTGGACCTTTGAAATTCTGAGGCTTTCTCAAGACCGGCTCAAGGCCCTCTTCCTACAACACGCCTTTGCATTTCTGATCTCTCTCTGTCCCTCTTCCTCTCTTTCTCTTTCTCCCTCTCCTTCTGTTTCTCTCTTTCCTTTCCTCCCTCTCTCCCTTTCTCCCTCCCTCCATCCACCCCCCAAAGTCATGCAACCATTGGTTTCTTCTGTGGAATTTATATTTTCTGCTCTGTACTGATAACAAGAACTTGTGGGATCAAAGGGCAGTAAAGAGTGTGCGGGCCGGGGGATGCAAATTCCATCTGCCGCCAGGCAGTGGCTTCTCACTGCAGCCAATTTCTGCCGTGTGGGAATGTGGATCTAATGTTGCCAGCCCTCCCAATATGTCACGAAAAGCAAGAAATCCATATTTTTTTAAATATAAAACTTCCAGTTGTAAAATATGAGCTCATTAAAAAATAAATAAATAAATAAAAACCAAACCAACAAACAAAAACACTCTGTAGACAAGAGAAAAATACATATATCGGAAAGCTGAATCGAGGCATCTAGCCCAAGTGTGCAACCTCTCCTTAAGCTTACATCTTCTACATCTCTGTACCCCTATCACCCAGCACAGAGGTTTGCTCATACCGATTTGCACCTGGTAAGCACTCAACCGTGTACCCTCTCTACGTGATGGGCCAATGATAGTAGGATCCACATCGAAGATCCACCATCCACCCTTTACTGTTTAAAACTTGTTTTGATATTGGGCTTCTTTCTAAAGAGCCTTCCAAAAGTAACATGGGAACAAAGTCTCTGTGACCTAAGACAGGAACTCGTCTTTTTTCCTGTACTTTGTACTAACCCAAGAGCACCATCAGCACTCAATAAATAATAAATTACAGTCATTTAATTACAGCTTTTATGCATCCAGGTCATGTTTTATTGACTTCATATTTGAAGCAAAATTTTCTAGCACTTAAGAAGAAAGCAGTAAGGGATAAAAGGCAAGCATAAGCCAAGCAATGGCCTAAGAAAAGAATGGCAATTTTTACGTCGGCCTCAGAAGAGCTGAATCAGACAGGGAAAATAGAAATGAAACCAAGCCAGCTGAATACCTCATAGCAGGGAATGGGAAAACAATACAACAGCATCCTGGATCCATAGCATTACCTCACTGGAGTTCACCAAAGAGCATTACCTAACCACTTCTGGCCCGTCCCAGAGGCACTTTCAGTGAGGGTGGCAGAGATGACCTAATCATCAAAGGTACAATCTCAAAGTCAGAGAGCCACGCTGAGGATCCAGGCTGGTGTCTTGGAAACCGTTCTGAGTATAGGATTTGTCCGGAGACTAGAGGGCATGGGACTGAGGAGAGGGCGGCAGAAAAGGAGACCCCTCCTCCAGCAAGGGGAGAAACAGCATTGGCTCCGCAATACGAAGCCAGAACTGACCCCATGGGCACGTCCCTGGAAGCAGGCAGAATTCTGTCAATTGGTGGCGTTGCCTTGATGGTGTTAGAAAGCAGAGGTTCGACACTGAAGCAGACGGTCAACATATAATGCCTGCCATGTGACAAGCATAGTTCTAAGCCGAGAGGTCAAAGCTTCTGTTTTTACAGGGCTTTCATTCAAACTGTGAGAGATAGATTATAAGGTTGTTTTTAAAAGGAAATGTCAGATAGTTATACATCCTATGAAGAAAATTAAGCAGGGTGTTGAGACAGAGTGCCTGGTAAGCTCTGTTACATGGGAAGGTCAGAGAACAGCTCAAAGGAGGTGACATAGTAGCTGAGTCTTTAATGACAAGAAGGCATCAACCGCACCAAATTCTAGGAATCTGCACCCTACAGGGAAAAACAGCTAGAGCAAATGCGAGGATCATCTTGTGTTTGAGCATAAGAGAGAATTCCAAAGTGTACGGACTTTGTAAAGCAAGAACAAAATTGGTAGAAGATGAGCTCAGAGAGAAATAAGAAACAGATCCCATAAGGTATCGAAGGCCTTGGAAAGGGATTTGGAATCCATTTTAAGTACTTATAAGCCATTGGAGGATTTAAAGCAAGTGATTACAGTCAACCCTTCAGGTCACTTCCCAAGATGACTGTTACACTTGCAAAAGAGGGACAGCGGTCACCTGACAAGGTGGTAGACCAAGAGTGATGTGTGCCCTGCTGCTGCCCTTGAACTTCGCGGGGGGCACCTGGGGTTTAGCGTAGAGGGTGAGCTGGGGAGGGAGTCAGAGAAACTTGCACTGTTGTTGTGGGGCAGGAAATCATCTTGCCAGAGTTCAGAGCTCAGGTTCACCACTCGCCAAAGCTCTATCAGCACCCTGGGCCTTCCTTGAAACTTCCACATCTCCCTGCTCGTGTCTCTGCTGAGCTCTCATTACCCTGCGAGCTTTATGAAATTAGCACCGTATTTGCTGAATTCTTTTATCCCTCAATGCACTGCACAGTAACTGTCCAGGACTCTGTTTCGTAGAAACAAAGGAATTAACAGAATGTGCAGTTGATACACCCATCTTGCCCTGCTTCTAGAAATGTCGGCAAGCTTCAAGGGGAGGGGGCTGCCTATGGGTCCCAGATCGATTGAGTTCACCACATTCACGGAAAGGTTGAGCTCCGCTGCTTTAGCCATCCCGGGCTAATTTTACCAGAATGTCCGAAATCATGACACTCCTGTCTGAAACCCTTCTGAATCAGAACTGTGTTCCCTGGCCTTCATTATTAATGTCTTACAGGTGGCCCCACCTTCTAAAGTCTTTTTCTTGCATTGTGTGTGCAAATGATAATCCACAAAGGAATAATCTGATAAGAGAAAAGTGAATATCATACTTACATATCCATATTCCAAATCCCAGCACCAACAGTAATTGCAAAACCTCACAAAACATGCCCTGAGAAAGTCCCCAATGAGGATTGTGACATAAGTGGTCAGAACATCAGAAACGGTCAGCCGCACAAATTCCTGTTGGGATATTAGCCAGATTAAAACAAGCATTTCTCCTTTCAAATGGCCCTAGTGTCGACATCAGGTTTGTTCTGCTTCTGCATAGTATTAGCTTAGAAACCACAATGAACAGTTAAAAAAAAAAAAAGAAAAAAAAAAAAAGGCCTATCTAGCAAGTGAAGACTATTTCACCCTTATTTTCTTAGTCTAAAAATAATTGTCTCAACATTGCAAAGCCACAGTATCAAAAGTCTTCTTACTGGGAAACTTTTATAGGTATGACATAAGAAATAAAACCAGGAATATATTGACCACATGTTAGTTTAAGACTTTAATCTAGCAAACAGCAATATTTATCGAGTTAAAAAGACACACTGGGAAAAGTACTGGCAGCAAATGTGACACAGAATTAGTTTGTCTAATGTGTTAAAAATGTTTATAAGTCAGGGGCACCTGGGTGGCTGAGTTAAGCATCCAAACTCCCGGTCTCTCGATCTCTGCTCAGGTCATGATCTCACAGTTTGTGGGATGGAACCCCACGTCAGGCTCTGCACTGACAATGAGGAGCCTGCTTGGGATTCTCTCTCCCCGCCCCCCGCCCCTGTCGCTTGTCTGCTAGCTTTCTCTTTCTCTCAAAATAAATAAATAAACATTTGAAAGATAAGATAATTAGTGAGAAAGAATTTTCTCGTGGGGCAAAGGACCATTTGAATAGCAGTCATTAGGTGAATTTCCAGCCTCACACGTCAGAGCTATGCTTCCCAAAAATTGTATACCACCTCCAGGATTCTTGGTATGTCCAAGTACCATGCAGAATAGAATTTATCTCCTATTTCTTTTAACTTTAATATCCCTTGTTCTTAAAAGATAACTACTACTCTTTTAAACATAATCTGCCGTAGGGCGCCTGGGTGGCGCAGTCGGTTAAGCGTCCGACTTCAGCCAGGTCACGATCTCGCGGTCCGTGAGTTCGAGCCCCGCGTCGGGCTCTGGGCTGATGGCTCAGAGCCTGGAACCTGTTTCCGATTCTGTGTCTCCCTCTCTCTCTGTCCCTCCCCCGCTCATGCTCTGTCTCTCTCTGTCCCAAAAATAAATAAACGTTGAAAAAAAAAAATTTTTTTTAAACATAATCTACCGTAAGTAGTAGTTAACTACGATACGGATGGAACAAAAGCAAAAACTATGATATTAAACACTTTAAAATACAAACTTTAAAACTTAGCGTTAGTTTTCACCACCAGCAATGCCTGTGACAAGGGCCTGGAGGCCAGCAGTATATTTTGGGAAGTGTTGTGAGAGAACAGGAGTGGAGGTTGGGAAGAATGAAACAGAAGGAAGGAGAGCTTTGGCCCAAGAGCATGTTAAAATCTATCACGTGAGTCTTACCCTGGTGGGCACCCACCTGGAAGCCTTGAAAGCCATATAGAATAAGCCTCCGAATTGTCCGTGCCAGAGACAGAAGGGAGACATATTGAACCGGCACCCCCCCCCCACTAGTCAAGGGTGGCCCCACGTGGAATGATCACCCCACCCCGTGACAGCACAGAAACTTGGAGGGTGATGCAGACGGCTGAGTTGAAATGCTACCAGGTAACCGGGATGCGCAGCTGTTTGGGGCAGCAAGAGCCGGAGTAAAAAGTGGACCAAGAGAGCGTGGGGTTCCTGCACGCTCTGGAAGTTTCTGTATAATCCGACTGCTGTGTAGCTCCCCATATGCTTCTGGTATTGCTTTTCGCCTCTTCTTCACTCCAGCCCCACTGGCTTTCCTTGAGAGCTTCAGTCTCCATACTTCTTCAGACCACAGGGCCTTCGCATGTGGTCCTCACTCCACTCAGTCATTCTCACTTCACTTCTTGACTCAGTTTACACACCAACTCATACACATCACTACAGCATCCCTGAGTGGGGAGAGTTTCACTCCCCTCGGTGACAAGGGCAAGCCTCTCTGTACAAAGTTCTCAGATTCCTTGCATTTCATCACCCTTGTAAATTCCTTGCATTTCATCACCCTTGTAAATTTGCAAATTTGGCAAAATTATTCAAGAACATAGTTTTCACAAGGGCAAGGAACCAGCCCACCTTTATGCCCAATGTACCCCTAGTATCCAGCACGATGCCTGCTTCTCAGCGGCTGCTCGATAAATACAGAATGAATGATTGGGTGATAGTAAATTCCTGCAGTTATTTCTGGCCACAACTTTTCCCTTCCCTGTTCTGATTCTCCTTTTCATTCCCCAACCAATTTGAGTTCAGGCTCCAATGACTAGTATCAATCAGAGGTAGGCGATGCGGGATATTTTTTTGGCTTGCACTGCCAGCTCAGGAGGGCCTCCTCAGGTAAGAGAAAATTTCAGAGCGGTTTTGAAGTTCCTACATGTTCCTAAACATCCTCACCCAATAACTGAAATCCTACTCTTCCTGAGCAGCGTTCTGTCACCTAAAATACTGGAAGTGCCCGGGTGGCTCAGTCAGTTAAGTGTCCAACTCTTGATTTTGGCTCAGGTCATGATCTTACAGTTCGTGGGTTCAGCCCTGCATTGGGCTCTGCGCTGACAGGGTGGAGGCTGCTTGGGATTCTCTCTCTTCCTTTCTCTGCCCCTTCTTTCTCTCTCTCTCTCTTTCTCTCTCAAAAATAAATAAATAAACATTAAAAAATGTACCAGAAGAAGATCCAAACACTATACCGAGACATAAGAATATTTATTCACCAACCATTAGAAGAAAACAATGCTTGGGGCGCCTGGGCAGCTCAGCCAGTTAAGGGTCTGACTTCGGTTCGGGTCATGATCTCACGGTCCGTGAGTTCCGTGAGTTCGAGCCCCGTGTCGGGCTCTGTGCTGACAGCTCAGGGCCTGGAGCCTGCTTCAGATTCTGTGTCTCCCTCTCTCTCTGCCCCACCCCTGCTTGCGATTTGTCTCTCTCTGTCTCTCAAAACTGAATAAACATTAAAAAAAAAAAAAACCCCAAACAATGCTTTATAAGAGAATCCCCCAAACAGTGGCTCAGCTCACCTCAGGGGCACATCCAATCCCAGTTCTAGCGTGTTAGTCAGGATGGGAGCACACTCTCCACACAGGGGCCCCGTTGAGCACCACACCTCACACCTCACAACTTAACACTCAGTTAGTTAAAATATCTAGGCAGCTTTGATTAGTAAACCTAAGAGTCATGAGTAGATAACAGGAACACCATAGACAAGGGGCATCACAGAGGACCACAGATTCTAGAACTCTAGACGTCCCATAGTAGGACCTTGGAGAGTATGTGTTGATGTTAATTATGTTCCTAGGGACAATTCAGCACTATGGGTAAGGATGCAAACTCTACCCAGACTATATGGGTTAAACGTGGGCTCCCGTCATTGACGTCGTTTAAGAGCTTGAGCAAATTATTTTACTTTTTGGGGTCCCAGTCTCCTTAACTATAAAATAGAGATAATAGAGATAATATGATTTATCTCAAAGGATAATTTCAAAATCCAAGGAGACAGCGCTGAGCACATCAGAGCCATTCAATAAATGCCAGACCTTGCTGTTGTTACGTTTAGCTGTTGGCTGCTTTCTCCTTCCCCAAAATGCAGACCTCAGTATATAGCTTCAAAGAGCAGTCTCCCAAGGAGGGCTTTGCTGCCTACCCATCAAATACTATTGGAAATGGGACTAAGTGGCTACATCTTGAGATTCCCTGGAGGGATAAAGGAGCCACCAAATCATCTCATATCCAAACTCAAAGAGAGGTTTGAGTCTTACATCATCCTTAAGGAAACAAAGCAGAGGGGATCCATGGAAGAGAAGAGAAAACATCTGGAATGTTCTGACGGAACAAAGAATGAGCCTTTGGGGTGTGTCCCCAACATTACATGCAAAGTAGATGCCTCTACTATTTCCCCTGGAGTCACTATTTTTAAGTAGTTAAAAGAAATGTTTCTAGGTGCATGGATAGAGATATTGATCTCGTAAAGACCAGACTTTCCAGACTTTTCACAGTTTTTATGTTCCCTGTGTTCTCTTTGTCCCCATGGACTCTACCTCCCTCATCAATAGTCTGTTCAGAACCACAACCTCATGGGCCAGCTCCTGCAGACTTTCCCTCAAGTGCTGAAGGTCCTTCTTAGAGAAAGGAAGGTGAATGAGAAAGGGGCAGTAAGGCAATATAATTAAGCATGAAGATGGGATTTAAAAAAAAAATTTTTTTTTGAGCAGGGGAGGGACAGAGAGAGAGGGAGACACAGAATCAGAAGCAGGCTCCAGGCTCTGAGCTGTCAGCACAGAGCCCGACGCGGGGCTCGAACTCACAAACCGTGAGATCATGACCTGAGCCGAAGTCGGTCGCTCAACCGACTGAGCCACCCAGGCGCCCCAAGATGGCATTTTTTTTAAAAAGATCAAGACAAGTAGCATGGTCCCCAAAAGAGTGAGACAAGTGACTTTTCCTTTATTTCAAGTCAGTCTGTGAGGAACTATTGCAGAATCTTCTGCATAATCAGAGACATAAGTAGCCTCCTAGATTGCATTGGCATTCCTACCTAATTAATCACTTTCTCTTCCCCAGAAGTGAGAAGCCTCAATCATATTCTTTTTTTAATGTTTATTTACTTAATTTTGAGAGAGAGAGAGAGAGCGCGTGTGTTCATGCACAAGAGGCACAAAAGCGGGGGGGAAGAGAGAGAGAGAGAGAGAGAGAGAGAGAATCCAGAATAGGCTCCAGGCTGTCAGCGCAGAGCCCATGCTGGACTCCATCTCATGGGAACCATGAGATCATGACCTGAGCTGAAATCAACAGTCAGATGCTTAACCAACTGAGCTATGCAGGCGCCCCGCCTCAATTTTATTCTTTACGGTTCGTTCTATCAAGACTGTTAAAGGGTAAATTTCTTAGTCCACATGCCAGTCTGCGTTCTGGGATATATAAAAGAAAACATTTCCAGCTCTTTGAGTTTGTGCAAGAAACTTATTTTCCCAAGTTTTTCATTTCTTTCAACTTTAGCTGCAGAGTCAAGGAGCAGTGTCCATGTGATAAGATTTGTGTTAAGCGCCGTGACCAGACTTCGCTTCAAGACCCTTGGAATCCAGAAACCTGTGTACTGCTGTGTATTCATTTCCCATTGCTGCCATGACAAATTAACCACAAACTTAGTGGCCTAAGAGAACACAGATTTATTTTCTTACAGTTCTGGAGGTCAGAGGTCTAAAATCAAGGTGTGGGCAGCAGGAGGGAGTCTGTTTCCCCTCCTTGTTCAGCTTCTGGAGGCTGCCTGCATTCTTGGGCTCAGAGCCCCCTCTGTCCATCATTAAAGGACATCTCTCCAAACTCTTCCATGGTCACATCTGGTTTTTCTGACTTTGACCCTTTTGTCTCCACTTGCGATTTCATCAGGTCCATCCACATAATCCAGGATAATTTTCTTATTCCAAAGCTCATCACTTAATCACATCAGCAAAGTCCATTTTACCGTGTAAGGTAATATAGTCATAAAGACTCCAGTGATTAAGACACAGATGTCTTTGAAGGTCCATGATCCCATCTACCCACACCTCGGATCACCACGCCTCTCTACTAAGTAAAGGCAACCTTCACTTCACTTCACTCCATTTCATTTCATTTCATTCCATACATAATATGTGCTATAAACATGTATGGAATGTGCATGTCTAAGAATTGAGTATTTAATAAAATGTAACTGGAAAGGGAGTTTATCTGGCCCCCTGAAACCTTAAAAATAAAATAAAATAAAATCCTTAATCATGCCATACTTTTTGGACACAGTCTTCGAGGATGTGTGTCTAGCATCATACACATTTTTCTTAATTTTTCTTCCCCCACAATTGAAATCACAGTTGATTGGCTTAAGTCTGATGAGCATCTAATTGAGCATGAAGGTATCTAATGATATCCACTTTTGTTTATTTTTTAATTAATTACTTATTTATTTTTGAGACAGAGACAGAGTGCGAGTGATGGAGGGGCAGAAAGAAAGGGAGACGCAGAATCCGAAGCAGGCTCCAGGCTCTGAGCTGTCAGCAGACCCCCACGCGGGGCTCGAACCCACGAACCACGAGATCACCACCTGAGCCAAAATCAGAGGCTAAACCGAAAGAGCCACCCAGAAGCCCCTACCCACATATGTTTAAATTATATTAGCTTTATAAGATTAACACTAACTTTTAATTTTTCCTTTTATATTTCCAAAAATAAGTACACAGCAAAAAAAGGCTCAAATAATTCCACAAGACCATGTTACTGCTGAAACTGAACTCTGGTCCAACAGGCAGGCAGACTCATGATGACATACTTAAAAATACCTCTTCATCATCCATGAACCAAAGCCCAAAATCGGTTTATGAAATTCACATTAAAATTAAAGGCTTTTCAAAGTAAAAAATGGATCTGTATAGAAGTAAGACATGTGCAATAGTTTATCGCTGTTGCTTTTGCTTCGTATGGTTTCCTCTATTGGACAGAAAGCCATGTGATGCCTTAATTCTTTTCTCTGGTAAAATAACAGTAGTGTTGGACTGGGGCCATTTACATAATTATCATGAAAGCAACTAGCCTAAAATAGCATTTCCTTTAATACTTAAGGGACAAGTATCTGACAAAAGTGGACATTCCTGAAATGAGCATTAGTGTGTGCTCCCAAAAGAATCTTTTTTCATGGAAAACAGGTAATGATAGGTAGAGTTCCATTTAAATATTCACTTGAGCCTGTATCCAAATCTAGGTGCTTTATTATGACACAAATGGAAAATAAACATCTCCTCACACCACTTAAAAATATCCTTTCTTTATACACAACTGTAAAAAAAGGTGTAAAAGTAGTACTTACCTCAAAAATGGCTGTGAGGACTGCATGAGCTAATAGATATGAAACTCACAACCAGCACATGGTAACCATTCGATAAAGCTTAGGTATTTTTTTTTTATTAAGCAATGAAAATGATAGGCCACACTTATGAAAAGGAATAATTGATTCTGCTCTTTTTTTAAGCCATTAATTGTCATCCACTTGTGTTTGTGACATTACCTGTCCCACCATTGTTTCCCAGCAGGGTCCTCGAGGTACATCTGCAGGGTGCACGAAAAAAGGTGGTCCAGTGCTATTTCCAGAAAGTGATGCATTATAGGCCTTGATCATGTTGGCTTCCCAGAGGGTAATATTGGCCTTTACCAGCTTCTCTTCTTCAATCTTGGGAGCAAAGTGATGCACACAAAAATGGAGACAACACAGATTTCAAAGGCATTTGTAGCAATCCGGAGACAGGCAATTGTAATAACACTCTGATGCCAAGAACAATCCAGATACAAGACTCACCTTGTTGTTAATCTCATCCATCAAGGCAAGAATAAATACGTACAAGTTGCCTAAGAGTAGAGCAAAAATGCGTCCCAGTAGCCATTTCAGAGCAATTAGAGGATGGTAGTCTTCCAGTTCAGCAAATAAGTCAAACAGGGCTGGACAGAACATCCCCAGGAGGGACATGACCATGTTCATCTACAATGAGACACAATGAATCAACTAAGTTAATGGTATTTTTAAAAATATTATTGCTTTCCTCCAGAATTTTGCAAGATTTCAGCTAGGTTTCCTTTATCTTTTATAAGATTAAAGAAGATTATCTTATGCATCTTTAAATTTTGATCTTCATAAAACAACAAAGACATTATTCAGCCCCCATTCTCGAGATGTACTTGTGTATGAGCTTGTGTATGTGCCAGTAATAATAGTCTGTTTCCTGGTATAATGAGGGAAGTAATTTACATCACGCTCTATCCAAAGAACACAAATTGTTCTGCCTGAGAACTGATTCTGACATGGTCATACACTTTGCAACAAGATTTCCAAAGGAAATGGAAAATGGTCTGGTTGAGGAATGAGGTCCAAACTGGAACTACTCATTTGACAATTACCAGTTTATGGGCTGGTTCAATCAGTTAGAATAAATGAGCTCCCTGAGATGGGCTCAAGACTAAATACTGAATTCTGGGGAATACATACTATTAGGAGAAAAAAAAAAAAAAAA